ACAGGACAGTGCCTCCAGCCGACGACGTTTTAGCCCACTTCTCGATGCAGTCCCGGTCGTAGGTGATGCCGGTGACGGTAGTCACCGGGTCCTTCATAATCTGGAGCGAGATTGGGCATAGAAAATACTGAGGTACTTCGATTTCGTCCATGTTATTATCTTTTGATGCAAATTATGAAAAATGATTAGCTTTATAGTGTTGAGAAGGAAATGAATATTAGAAAGATAGTAAGAAAATGCGGCTTGTGAGTCAAAATTGTGTGTTGTGATCATCAATTCGCTGGTCCAACTTGTTTTACCGGTCAGCTGAATATAAGGGTGTTTGGCGGTCAATGCATGAGAAGCAGTATAACCACGTAAAACTTGACTTTTCAAAAAAGAGTGACAGGTGGCGATCAGTGTGTGGCGTGTTTGTAGGTTCATTAGCCAATGGGAAAGAGTTTGGATGGGAGGAGTTTCGCTTTTCATTTGAAGGAGGAGAGGAAAATGAAGCAAAACAAGACGTGTGGGAATAATGATATGGGGAAATGATCTAATTATTTATTTAAAACTTAGTTATGAGATTTGGTGATGTTATTGAGGTTAAGATATAATGAAGATACTAACTGGAGTGATGGAATATTATTAATACAACTAAGTAAGCCAGCCGCGCGATGCGCGGCATGATGTTAAAACGGGAATGGTGTTTAAAAAATTTGGTTCTCGTAATTTAAAATAAAAAATGCTCTTGCAATATTTCTTTAAATACAACATCAGTAGTAGAAGAATCAGACTCACTATCATTATCGCCATCACAAATAACAATTTTGTAGACCATTGGGATTCGTTACTCTAGAAACAACAACATATAATTGTTCATGACTAAATACAGGTTTCTTCAACAACAATCCCACGACAAAGATTGTCCTTGACTTTTATTGATAGACATTGCGCAAGACACCATAATTGAAAATTGTCGTCGCTGAAACTTGAATGGAAGTCCCGGATCTGAAGGCGTTAATGACATCTTGGAATAAGAACCTTCTGACGTGAACTTTCTGCTCCAAGAACTTCACCCTCTATAACATGATTTCCAAGTTTCGTGACAAATAATCGAGCTCCATTGCACAAACCAAGAGAAGGGTCAACATTGCAAAGAAACATTATAGGTGTCCCGACTTTTAAATTCAACTCATGATTTGGGACGCCAGAGCACTTAATCGAATTGAGGAACTCTATAGTCTGGATATCATTAACCACACTTACATTATTATCAGAATGACAGGGAGAATCGGAACTCAAATATCTTTTTGCCTCCGAAGCATTTAACGAAACCATGTAATCATTAACAGAGTTCACCACATCCAGAGTTGGAGCTAATATAGCTCTTTCCAGGAAATAAGAATGATCATTCGAGTTAGTTCGAAATGTGGAAAAGCAGCGTCAACAACTGCTGCGATCGGATCGTCAAACTCCTTCACGAAAAACTCATCAGGAATATCAATATTTGCATAACCATCTTCATTCTCCCCAAGATTTGCATCTCCAATCTTCGCAATCCAATCTGCAAACTTTTCCAAGTCACTGGAATTTTTACTAGGCTTCAGATTTTGCAAGCGCATGTTCTTCGTCAATTTAAGAACAATGCAATGTCTCCGCAACTCAGGCGAATTGATAGTTGCATGGACAATATCTTCTCGCCTCCCTTTTGGAAAAACTGGCAAGATTTAACGAAAATCTCCACCAAACACAATAGTCTTTCCCCCAAAAGGTAGATTTTTTCTACGGGGATCAAAATTCTTCATTATATCTTTCAAACTTCGATTTAAAGACTCAAAACAATATATGTGCATCATTGGAGCCTCATCCCAAATAATCAACTTCGTATTAGATATAAGCTCAGCAAGAGGCGTTCCACAATTAATATTGCAAGTCAATTTTTTGTGTAGATTAAATGGAATAGGGAATCTAGAATGCGTTGTTCTTCCACCGAGCAACAACAAAGAAGCTTTACCACTGGACACAATGTTCAACACAATATCTCCGTTTGACCTCAGAGCAGCAGATAATGTCTTCCATATAAACGTCTTGTCTGTACCCCCATAACCGTAAACAAAGAAAATCTTCCTATAGAGAGAGTTAACAGCACGCATAATCATATCATAAACCATATGTTGCTCGGAGTTCATCATTGATAGATGTCGTTTATGATCTACTTTCAAACTCTCGGTGTTATGACACATCTCATTGTACATGACTCTAGACTACACGCATGAAAAGTATTTATCTGATGGGAACTACAGGGTTGGAAAGTCCCGTTGAGTTTTCCCAAAGCGTTGTAAGATCTTATTAACCTCCACCAAGGCAAAATTCTTCAAATCATCATTAGTTAATTGCAAACCTGAAAAAATAACAAAATGTTACAAAAAATGATTCTATAAAATGATTAAAATAAATTTTTAATAAAATGTTAGATGAATAATAACCTGCATATTGAAGTCTTCAACGCTGAAGGAGCAAAATATCAGCAGACAGGTAACATCAACACGAATTCCACACAACCTCAGGACGACTAATCGATCCAGACGAAAAAAGGGTTGCGAATAAAACTCTCTTGGACTGGCCAGATGCCCAAGTGCTTGCTTCGGCTATTCCATCAATATATTCTCTGTCATCCTCCAATAATCCCAAAGCATAGCAAGCATCTCTGAAATTGTCATAGTGGACACCATTCACGAAACACAAATCTCTATAACACGTGGCACCACACACAACATTTAACTGGCACCTTAAGTAGTACATGTCTCTACTTCCTGGAGGGACAAATAAAATTCGGCCAATTGCAAATCCATTTATTCTCGGAAACCACTTTTTTTCTTCAGAATGCCAAACAAACATTTGTGGAAACTCTGCATAAGTGAGTTCTCTGGCATGCGGATACTTTTTGTTTGCCTCCATCCACTCTAAAAACATGTTATGGTTGTTCGTCTCTCGATTAACAACATCTTCAATATTATCTGAATCTTTATAGCAAAGAAGTTGCTTTCCTAGAAGATGAAATGACATCTTTGAACAGATGGATATTTAATTTGGATTTCATAACTCAAAGTCCTCCAGGCGGCTTCACAGGAGGAGACATATCGACAGTCATAGTACATTTTGATCTCATCAATGCATTTTCCAGAATCATCATTCGAGCTTTTATAAAATGATGCAGTGACATGATCATTTCCCTTATTGACGTACTTGAACAAATACTTGATTGTCGGGATTGATTACACCACTCAACATTCAAGTGACTACCATAACGAAGTAATAAATAGCGATTATGAGCAACAACATATCGGTTGTCAAATCGACTCTATTTTTTCAATCACACTCCCACTGTTTCTACGCCAGTACACGGGATATCTCTCAGGTATATCTGTCATCGTCGACAACAGTAGAGTCAATAAACTTTTTTGGGAAATTCTTTGAGCAACGACCATTGTTCATGCCAGGTGAGTCTCTCTTATCGTCTCCACAAGGGCCATGCAACATGTAATCTTTGACTGCCTTGTAGTAAACAAGATCTTCATTTTCATCAGGAATCTCCGCAGAAATAATTCGATCAATAGCAGCTGGAGTAGGAAATTTATCTTCCTTGCTAAAAAACAACAATATATGTGCGTGTGGCAGCCCTCTTTTTTTAAATTCTATAGTATATACTAACATCATCTTTTTTTAAATTCTATAGTATAAACAACTGCAATAAAAAAAATATTCATAAAGTTACATTGAATGAATAAAAATATGTACAAACATTAAGGAATTATAAAAATACCTGCTATAACGCTGCCAAAGATGTTTTTGATTCGAAGATCATCAAGTAATTCATCCAACTTTGATATAAAGACCCTACAAATAACATCGGGACGATCCTCTGGGATTAAAATAGAATTGATTTTATTTACTCATGATCCTCCAAAAGTATTTCCATCAAGATTATTTGTTGTCCGCCATACTCAACCCCGCGGGGTGGGTATCTCACAACAAGGCGTCCAATAACATCTGGTTTTAAGTTTTCATTAGTATATGTAACAATAAAAAAATTATAGGACTTTGTGTAGAATATTATACCAATGAGTATGGTTTCATCAACCGAATCAGCTTCAGCAAGTCTTTTAAAAGGAATAAAGTCAAAGTCATAGATCATTGTAGGGAAGCTATCATCCTAATTTTATAAAGCATATT